TATATATATATATATATATGAAACCAATTCCATCTCTCAAATTACCTTCACGATTGCTAAGACATGGAACCAACCTAAATGTTTACAAACAGATGATAGATTGAAAAACTGTGGCACATATACTCCATGGAATACCATTCAGCCATAGAAAACAACAAGGCTCTGGCATTTGATAGAAAGTGGATGGAAATGGAAGATTTAATGCTGAGTGAAGTAAGTCAGGGTATGAGAGATACTGTAAGCTTGTAGTCTCAGTGTCAATGTTCACCTCAAGAACTTCACATATCTTTATGTAGAGAATAGACATTAATAGATGTGTGGGTACTTTCTCCTAAGTATAAGAAGGTCTAGAAATGGAAGTACAAGATTTTTAGGTACCAATACTTTAATTAGCCAATTAGTCAATATTATCTTAACCTCATAGTAGATATGTAATTTACATTCTTGTGATGTTCTTCTAATTGGAGTTGAAACCTCTAGTATAGGCTAAAAATAACTTATTTTAAGATCAGTGTCAGCCTTAGTAAACAAGAGTGAAGGTGAAAAAAATTATAAAGTGTATGTTACCCTTCGATTGCAACTCAAAATGTACCTAATTAATAATGTTTCAAATTTGGCATAAAATTAACAGAAATATAAACTGTCATTTTTTCAAAATATGATGTGTATTTCATCACTTGAGGGGCATTTTAAAATGTATATTGGGACATTAGGCATGAGATTTTTGCATTCCAAAAAGTCCTGATTATAGTAATACTGCTAATCCATCAACCACAGGTTAGTAGCTATGGTTAGTTATGACCTATGTAAAAAGTCAGAAGATAGTAGTTCCTAAGTATGATAATCTCATAAATCTTTCCAATTGACCTACATAATGTCAGGAAAAGTCAAGATTAAGAGAAATTATTATACATAAGTATTTTTTTCTTCAAGTTAAGCTAAAAGGTAGACATTGTCTGATTTTTCTAAAGCATACAAAGATTCAGCCAGCTAACAGAAGGCATTGTAAATGCAAATTGTAAAACGTTTTTATGTTTTATTACATTAATTTATTCATTTATTCTACATGTATTTATTGAGAACCTGCTTTGTGCCAGGACCTGTGGTATGCATTGGAGACAGAGCAGTAAACTAAACTGGACCTAGCATAGTTAGAGAGTTTATAATCTAGTGTAAATACTAAATGAAATAACCAAATAACCAAGAGACACTGTGACTACAAGCTTACAACTGTCCAGGCATTTGCAAGTGAAATTAGAGATGGGTTGAGTAGATACAATGCAGGATACCAATAGTTGTGTTATAGTTAATTGATATTAAAGTCAACAAAATATCAAATTAAAACTTCAACAGGTATTCTAAAAGAAAGATACACAAATCTCAACTACTATTCAATAAAGAGAGAGTGGAACTTTCTGTTCCATACTTCATATAGTAAGCCATCTTGAGAAAGCAATGCTAGAGTTGAGATTTGAAAAATGAATAAAGGTGTCTTCATAGAAGAACATGAGATGGTAAATGCATTTTGGGCATGAGATATAAAATGTGAGACAATTTTACCTACAAATATTTTTTTTGAGAGGTTTTGCTATAGGGCATATGCGCTCACTAGAAAGACAGAGAGTGACAGAGAGACAGAAAGTGACAAGTCATCCCCCATGGGGGATGGCCGCACCGCAGTCCCTTCTCCTCCATTCTCCTGTTGGGATCTTGGGCACACACACACACACACACGTGCCCTGTGTGAGTTTAAGCCACAGGGTCCAGGACTCAAACCACGGTCGACTGCATGGGAGTTCAGCAACATAGACATTACGCTAACTGCTGGTCCCTATATATTTTTATTTTTTTAAAGAGTATTTATCTATTATGAGTAAGAGAGAGTAGCAGAGAGTCAGAGAGGGGCAGTATCCCTGACAGGGTCTCAACATTATAATCCAACCCCAGCTCGACCAATCCAAAGTATGACTGCACACTTGCCAAACTCAAAGTCCAGGTGTGAAGCAGTAAACTTGCCAAGTGGGTCTGCC